AACCCACTAAAGAATATGTTCCTCAGATATCCACATTATCTCCAGCAGCAGCCCAGAACACAAACATCAGTTTGGCCTTTGGTGGTAACTCAGACCACAGACATCTACACAGACATCAGCTACAGGAGGACCACAGACCCAGTCAAGGTCCTTGGTGGCAGCAAGAATCAGGATAAGTAGGTGGCCTACTTATATCTGTCTCTTCCTTACTGCTTTGAGTTTTCGGTTCCATTTCTCCATGGTATACGGACCCCTCAGCTTTGCTTTCTCTTTTATCTCTCCACATGTACTCCATCTTTCCCTTCCTTCCAACTTACATTCCTTCTTCTAATGGCACCCATGGAAGCTGCTAGGGTGTCTTTCTTGGAGCCTTCCTGGACAGCATTTCCAGGGCAAGTGCTTGGGTCAGGATATCATTTTTACAATTGGGTAGTACCCTCTTTATTTTTCAATATCATGCTGTGATATAATATTATTTTCATATTAGACACAGTTAATGTTCAATACTTTTGTATTATATATAATTGTTATACTATATAATGATACATTCATATATACTACCTATACTATAATTGCTTAAACTTTACACACGCACAACATAGCATAGAATAGCATAAGGAATGTTTAGGTTATGCTAAACATATTTATCTCTAAGATTTGTCACTTCCTTATGATGGAAATTTTCAAAGCGTTTCTTCTTGTTGTTTGAAATCTCTGGTAAATTATTTTTACTTCCAATCACCGTATTCTGCAGAGCATACTAATGATAGTTTTCCTTCTGATAGTTTGTCCCTCTTACTGAAAATGGATTGTTTTTTTTTCCTCATAGGATACACCCTGATTGCAGTTCATCCCCACTTTATTCCTCACAGTTCCTCAAATCTCTCCTTTTATCCAAATCCACTTTTCTTCTTTCTCTCACCAGAAAAGAACAGCTTTCTAAGAGATAATAATGACATGTAAAAAAACTACTATATAAGATATATGAGCCTTTTCATTCTCTGTTTATCTTCACAAATTATGACATCCCTTAGCCTCTCTGATGAGGTTACAGGACACAGATTGTTAATAAACAGTGAACATAGTCCTAATGGACATGATATTTGTTTTCATTAATCATTTCTGTGTTCTAGAAATTGAATAAATATTTTTTATAATTTTCTGATTGAATTTCCCAACAAACTCACTGGGAAGGAGGTCATATCTGCTTAGCAGCAAAGCCATGCCTCTTAGGAGACAAAAAAAAAATCTCACAACTAAGTTGGAAACATCTAACCAAGAGAAAGAGAGGGGCCCAAGAGAAGGCACAAGAATGAGTGACTGGTTCATTCACACCACAGGAGTCCAATAGAGTCCAGTAAACTGAAAGCTATATTATTTACACAGAGGGCCTTGTGCAGACCCATGCAGGTCCTGTGCCTGCTGTTTCAGTCCATGTGAGTTCTTAGGAGCTTTGTTCAGTTGATTTAGAGGTCTTGCTCTCTTATTGTCCTCTATTTTCTTTGCTATTCCATTCTTTCTGTCTTGTCTTCCATGGGGTTCCCTGAATTCTGAAGAGAGATTAGACAGAGGCATTCCTCTTGAAGCTATGTGTTCTTGGGCTGTCTCTTTCTGTCTCTGTCTCTCTGTCTTTCTGTCTCTCTCTCTGTCTCTTTCTCTCTGTCTCTGTCTCTCTCTTCCTCTCTGCATTATGTCTGGCTGTGGGTCTCTATATTTGTTTACAGCAGCTGCAGGAGGAAGTCTCTCATGATGTCTGAATAAGGCACTAATTTAGGAGTACAGAAGAATATCACTGAGACATGTTACCAAGTCAGAAAAACCTCTCAGGTGTCCTTCTCTTTTACTGTCCCATGGAAATCCCAAAAGAATACAGGCAGTTACCAAGACAAGGGGTTGCTGTCCACAAAATGACAGCAAAGCCCCTTTACTAAAGACAACAACCACAAAATGCATGGAACATGGAGAGATTGATCTGATGCCAATGTAGAAACTTCACCCTACATTCTTGTGTCTTTCATATGAGAAGATACTTTTCAGGCTACTAAAAGACAAGGTAAGCACCAAGACAACCACACAGCACCAAGCCAACCACACAGTCTTTGATTCTGTCCCATTAGCAAAATGACCTAGGGCAATGCTGGCACAAAACTTGTAGGAATAGCCAATCAACGTGTGATTTGACCTAAGGCCCATTCCATGAGCTGTACCCCATCCCCAAAACTGTTTGGGTGAGCAATAGCCAGTAACTAGATAGATCAGAGATTAATGGTAAAGCTAAAGACTGCTAATCTTAGAAAAGGTGATGGTACCATGTCTCAATGATATTCTTCTGTACTCTTAGATGAGTGTCTTATTCAGTCATCATAAGAGATTTCCACCTGCAGTTGCTGCAAACAAATACAGTGACCCACAGCCAGACATAATGCAGAGAGAGAGAAGGAGAGAGACAGAAAGAGATAGAGACAGACAGAAAGAGACAGAGGCAGAGAGACAGAGACAGAGAGACAGAGAGAGACAGTCCTTGGGGACACATAGCTTCAAGTGGGATGCCTCCACCACATTTCTCTCTCCAGAATTCAGGGAAACCCATGGAAGATAAGGCAGAAAGAATGGAAGAGCAAAGGAAATGGAGGACAACAAGACAGCAAGACCTCTAAATCAACTGAGCAAAGCTTCTATGAACTCACATGGACTGAAGCAGCAAGCACAGAACCTGCATGGGTCTGCACCAAGTCCTCTGCATAAACAATATAGCTTCCAGTTTAGTGTTTTCATGGGACTCCTGAGGTGTGAATGAGCTGCTCCTTCATTCTGTGTCTTCTCTTGGGCCCCTTTCCTTCTGTTAGTGAGTCATGTCCAACTTGGTTGTGATGGTTTTGTCTTATTTTATATAGTATTTTGCTATATTTCGTTATTATCTCTTAGAAAGGCATTCTTTTCTAATGAGAGAAAGAAGTAGAGTGGATTTGGATAAAAGGAGGAATTGGGAAGAACTGAGTCCATGGCTCCAGGGGCACAATGTGCCTCCCACATCCTGAGACTAAAGACTCACATGTCTGATCTGCTATTTACATTGGAGTTTTGCACTCACAAGAAACTCATCCAGGAGATACAAAACTGGAGCTGCCTTTGCAGCTGAGTGCAGAAGTGCATGGTGCTGGCAGGACCTCAGCAAGAGGTTCTCTTTCCCAGGAGAGACTGCAAACAAGATTCAGACAAGCAGAGAGTGGTCTTCAAATCTCTGTGTGGTATACTTTGTCACAAGGTTTTACTATTGAAAAATTACATTCTGGGGTTTTTAGATTCTCATCATTATTTGACTTTAAATTAGTGTGTTGTGTTGTGTGTGTCTGTGTGTTCATGAGTGTGAATACAGGCTCCTATGCATTATGGTATGCATGCACAGATCAGATTTCAACCAATACACTGGTTCTGACTTTCCACTTTGTTGATGGATGGGTCAGGCTAAGTACTGCAGAGATCCTTGGAATTCACTTCCCATCTACCCATAACAACTGTGGGGGTGAAGGATGCCTGGTACTCATTGTCTAGTGATATGTGGATGCTGGGTATCTGAACTCAGGTCTTTGTTGTGCAGTGAATACTTTCTTCACTAAACCTTGGGGACACTAGAGACAATGTTGCGATATGTGTATGAAGATAACATATCTTTTTATGAGGAAGCACAAAAACATGCCATTTAAATGTTCTAGCCACTCAATAAGTGCTAGTGAGTGCATACACATCATATAGCCCATAAACACACATATCTACAACACTTGTTTTCATGCTGAATTGAAAGTCTGTCTATCAAGCAAAAAAATTCTGTTGCCCTTTTATTTGAACCTCCAAAATGATGTGGTTTGTGTGTCTGAGTCTAAGTGTATTGCTATCCTATATCAGTCAATCCATGTAAAACTTCATTTCTCTCACTGAGATAACACATTCATTGTTTGTCTGTGTTCCACTGTTGCTGAACAACCAAGGCTGAGACAAACAAGCTGAAGCCAGAAATCAGTTTATTGTATAGACACAGTAAGTCTAGAGGACAACAGTCTAAAACCTGAGCTCCAAGTTAAATTTTAGAAAGATTTTAATGACCCCTGTGTTTCCTTGCTTTAGCAATCTAGAGTGACTTATGTTGAGTTGGGATATTAAACTTCTTAATACAGTTTATTCAACTGCCTCATAAACAGTAATGCTTCCCTCCAAACCAGAATTTACCAGAAGTTATCTCTAGTGCAGACTGAAGGAGGAGGAATAGGATTTCAGGAGAGCTGTGGGGTAGAGTCTTGAACCTCCAGGGAGCTGGCCAGTGTGCTGTGGATATTTTCTGCTGTTCAGGGCTCCATCCCACAGCACTCTGTGCTGGAATTGACTTGCACCTGAAGATTGAACACTATCCTATACCATGCAGAGGGTGTGTTTTGGTCATATGTTCTGTTAATTCTAGTTCTGTTAATTCTGTTGTTTCCATTTTAAATCCTAGGAATTCTAAATCCTGTTATTTTTAGTATTTCTGTACAAGTTAACCTGTGCCTTTTGCACATAGTTCTGTTTTGAAAGTTATTTGTGTAATTCCTTTTCTTTCTAGATCATAGCACTACTTATGGCAAAAAATGTTTCTCTAATTTGTCAAAATATGTATTACAGAAAATTGAAATATCAAAAAATATTAGAAGTGGTCAAACAGTTACAAACATTGTAGGAAACCTAAGATCATGTTGGGCAAAAGCCACCTCACAGAACTCCCTTAAAGATTCATTGAGAAATAAAATAAAATACTATAATGTAAAATACTCTTTTTTTTATATTGAAGGGTATGTGGTTTAATCATTTGTTACATGCTTGATAGCACATGGGTTAGAGTAAATCCTTTTAATAGAAATACAACTTTATATATTCATGTATTCCAAAGCACACAGACACTATGCCATGGTTGACAATTTTGATGCCAGTATATTGGCTTCTCTTAAAGATTCTTGCCCATCAATGAATATTCAAACATTTATTATCCTCTTACACATGGACCTCAAAAAGTTAACGATATGTTTTTCAGTGCTTATAAACACAAAAGGGCTGACTGTGGCATACATGTGGCTCAAAAAGAGTTGCATGTAGTAAGATGTTGGATCATTCAGGAACATAGTTCTTGAGCAGGAGACAATGCTGTCAAAGATGGACATCAGCACAAAGAAGCTCATGAGCATCAGGATGGTCTGGGTGGCTCTTTGCTCTGGGGATGCTTTTGGTGAAAGGCTGGTACCTTGTAGATGTTGGGCCTGTTTCCTGTGCCTACACAAGAGAGACACCATGTACCAAGTTGAGAGGACCATGAGACTAATAAGAAAGATGTCTCTGATGGCCAGCAGTGTAGAAAACATGCTTTTCATGAGGTATGCCATGGGTACAAGAGAGCAGGACTGAGTAACATAAATGAAGTCATTCGTGGTCAAATTGGGGGTGGCAATAATGGATAGTAACAGATGACTGCTAATTAACATATAGAGGACACTCAGCAAAAGGATGGCACATGAGATGTAATGGGGAGATTTATGCTTGAACTTTGCTAAACAGGAGCTTCTGGGACTGAGGATGATGGCCTGGAGGACACTCAACATGCTGGTGGTACAAAGGGAGAGACCCCTCAAAATTCTGTAGAGGTAGACAAGGAATTTACATATGATGTCATTCCATCCGGTCCAAGAAATAAAAATGTCTGTGGCTATGAATTGCATGACCAGTAGCATCAGTAGGTGAGTTAGAGACAAGAGACCAATGGGCATGTCAGTGAGTCTGGGCCTGTGCCCACAAATGAACTTGAGAATATGGAAGAGAAGAAGGAAGTAGTTGCCTGAGATCCCAATGCCAAGTTCAGAGAAAAAGGTGTTTCTTATGTTAGAATTAGTGTGGAGTCTACTCTTCTTACTCATTGTATATAAGAACAGAAGCTAAGGAGAAAAGTGGAGCAATGTCTCATCCTGAGCAAAACCACAAGCTTCACTCCAGACTACTCTTCTGCCCTAAGGAAAACACTCAGTTGCCCGTGCACTCTTATTCCACTGAAAACCACAGGTCCACCTCACACTCCACAGATCATCTCACTTGTCCTAAGTTGAGCCATGGCTGGATCCTGTGTCCCATGGTTGGTATGTGTGTGAGCTCCTTTAAAATTAACAACTGCATACATCACAGATTATGTCTTTTCTTATTTAGCATGTGTCTGTTTTCCTGGAACAGAAACAGCATCTTAATGGTTTTCATCCACAGCATCTTGATTGCCAGGACCTTTATAGAGTTTTACTATTTTGGGCGAGTTTATATGAGGAGGATTGTGTGAAAAAACAGTCCTTCTCAGTGAAACAGGTCTTGTGGATTGGGTATGCACTTATTCTACTTGGGGTTTTCTTTACTCTCTTTACTGATAGTAAAACAAAATTTCTTAATATATTTATATAACAAATGTTGGGAATTGTGATCTGTGAATCCAGACATTTCTTATTCCACCCACAATCTGCTATTTCCTCCAACTGTGACCTTGAACAGTCTTAGGCTGAGCTCCAATCCCCTCCTCCTGAACATATACACAGCCATGTGCCTGCGTAAGTTGGACACTAGGTATATAAGAACATGGTGTATACACACCAAATATGTCAGTGTTCCAGCACAAGATGGTCTCTTTGGATATTTTGCCTGCTGGTTTTCTCATGAGATACCTTATGTTTGTGCTCTGGAAGAGTTAAGGCAGATCATAGTGACTGGTCAGCTCTGTCCCTGCCTGAAACAGAAGATAAAAGATAAAATACAAAACAGCAGAACAGTTGAGCAGAGTCATTTCCAGAGAACTTTCACTGAAAATTCAGTCTTTGAGTGATACTGTGTAAGTACATCTTCCATGTTTCTACTCTCAATCCAGAACATTGTCTGGAAAAGACAAACAAAATGGGCAAATTTCAGTAGGAGACGAGCCTACTCCGTCTCTTCTTTCAGGATATGAAGTCAGAAGGAAATAAAACTACAATAGAGAGTTGAGGCTACCCCAAATTACAGAATCAAATGAAGGTGGCCAAACTCTGTCCTGAAAGACAGGCTCTATATGAGGCCACATTCCCTCTTTTTTTTTTTTTTTATAATTGAGGGTTGAGTCCTTCTCCAGATTCCTGATATACTAACTGGAAGTTTATTGGAAGTATATATTCACAAATGTGCTGTATATATTGTTGAATTGTTACAGTTTCTTTGATTAGACTAACTAAAACATTATGACCAAACCTACCTTGGATGGACACGCTTCATTTCAAGGTAAAGACAAAGACAATATTTTTCTAGTCATCTTGCCACCTACAAATTTAACAGATGATGCAGTTCTACATTATTTTAAATCAAAAGAATCAGTGTCAAGCAATGAGGGCACACACCTTTATTCCAGCACTTCAAAAGCAGAGATTTGTGGGTGTTCAAATTCAAGGCCCAACTGGTCTACAGCATGAGTTCCAGGACAGCCAGGGCTACACAGAGAAACCCTGTCCTGGAAAACCAAACAACAAAAAGAATCAGTAAGGCATGTAGACTTAAGAAAGATGTATACTTTCTATAGAAGTCACTCTGGTGTGTATGAACCCTCCTTGGATACAATCCACAAAGAATTCTCGAGCCTGTCCTTTCCTAGTTGTGCCTCATCAGCTCACACAATCCTGGCTGAGCATGGCTTAAGAGACAAGATGACTCACTCTCTCAGATCTGCAGAATTAAGGGACTCTGATCTAACTGATTGGGCAGGAGAGAAGCTGGAGCTATGGGTCCCTCCATATACACTCTTTGGTTGGTGGTTTAGCCCCTGAGAGCTCTGGCAGGAGGGAAAATGAGATAGGTGTTTTGTGGAGGGGAAACTGGAAAATAAAATAACACTTGAAATGTAAATAAATAAAATATCCAATAAAAAGAAAATAATAAATGATATTTATTCAATGACTAGAACAGAGAAATGATTAATGAACACAAATACTGTATGCATTAAGACCATGTTCACTGTTTATTAACAATCTATGTCCTGCAACCTCATCACCACAGTGACTCAGGTGATGCTTCTGTCAGGCAGAGTGAGGCTAAGGGCTGACATAATTTGTGAAGTTAAACAGGGTATAGAAAGGCTATTAAGATGATCCTAGTCAATAAAGATCAGCAAGGAGCCCTCTGTTAAATGAGGTTTGAACATACAACCCATTTTTTTCCAAAGGCTTTTTGAACTTCTAAGTATTCACACTATAAAAGCCAGTATATAAACACTATTCTTTTTATGGTATGTGATCAACAGAAACAAAATTAAGTGTTTTAGTTTAAATTTAAAGTTAGAACATCACTCACTACCTTTTAAGATGTATACAAAGGATCACTTTTGAAATCCTCTAGAAATTACACCTCACAACTTATGGATGATGAAGTAAATTTGGTAATTAGTTCAGAAAAATAAATTGAAATTAAAATTAATAGACATCTTATAAAAATTAAGTAATTTTAGGACCTTAAGGAAATGAATATCCTTGAAAGAAAATGCACTTGATGCAGAACACAGTACCCTGTGCTGAGAGGGTGTCAGAGCTCAGTGTCACCATGGTAGATGCTGAAACTCCCCCTGCAGTGACAGAATTCTTCCTCCCACAGCTTGCCTTGGTCCTAACCACTTTCTAATTCTGTACTTACTCAGGGCACTTACTAAGATGGAAGTGGCAAGGCAGATGGAATCTGAGCCCGAGGAGATCCTGCACAGTCTTAGGTGAAGGGAGTCTTTAAAGCATCTCTGCAGCCTGTAATTTTAGTGTGTGTCAGTGACAAGTTCCCATTTGAGAGCAGGGACATGTGGCTTCCCACTGGAACATTTTCCTTGTTGAGTTGACTCTCCTCTGTTGGATAACAGCCATCCTGGGAGAGCTGGGCCCAAACTTTTCACTGAGTTTCCTTGGCACACCTGCAAGTTAGATCAGGACACAATCTAGTCAGCCCAACTTGCTAATTTTCCCTCAGGCAAAATGAGTACAAACTAAACTTCTAATGCATAATTCACCTGCTTAACTGTAAGACCTCTGGTGCCTTCCTTGAGCTTCCATGTTTCTGATTAAATCTATACAGTGGGTGACAGGCTGCTTCTTCAGGGACCTTCAACATACAGAGAACCTGTATCCAAGAAATCTTGGTTCTGTGCCCTGTGATTTCCAGATTTCCAGCTAGAAGTAAATAGTAAAAATGAATTTAAAGAAAATGCAGAAGAAAAAGAAGCCTTAAGAGTTTGGGGCTATTCAGTCATAGTCAACTTGTACAAAACTGTGCCCGAGGCCAACCCTGGACTGGATTCTTCTCCCCAAGGAGCTTAAATGGCCAGCTTCCTCCTCACCGATGAAGTCAGGAAGTCTTAGCATCTGAATAGACAGAAATGACATGCACTTTTGCTTTCATTCCCGTGATCCTTATCTACAGTAATATAAAATTCTGACAAATGGAGAGATGTCCCATACTCAGAAGAGAGTCCAAACATCCAGGGTGGTATATGCCTGTTTGTGGACCTCAGAATCAGAAGATAGCATTTTATAATAACTGCTCTCAATATGCCAAAGGTTCATACAGGAGCAAAGCACGAAAGATTGCTTATTTCAGAAAGGACTAGCTAGCTCAGTAGGTAGAGCATGGGACTTTTAATCCCAGCGTCAAAGGTTCAGGCCTCACGTTGGGCACCATCTGTATCAGATGGTGTTTAGAAAGCTGCAGCACCGCCTCTGCTAGCTATCTGTGCCACCCACCATGTTCCTGCACTAGAAGCAGCCAGAGGCCAAGTGTACCCCATGATACGTTACTGTGGCAGCTGGTTCCATCAATCAGCTCCAAGGAGAGCATGCCCAAAAGTATGGATTTTGGGCCAATCCTGTCACCCTCATGGTTCTTTGCTAAGCCCCAGACAATACTCGCCATGCTCATGGTTCCTGATAGAATGAAGACTCTTAATGCTAAAAATTATCTAATGGATTTTTATATTTGGAAATGATCAATACACAAGGTACCCAACCAATTAGAGTTATTACCCAATATCTAACCTTTTGATAGAAATTGTTACCCGGAACTGTTAAAGATCTATGGTTCTTCATGTTGTTTCCTTTCTCCTTCCTCTTTTCTCCTCCCCTTCCTTTTCCTTCCAACTCCTCACTCTGCCTACCTCTTCTACTGCCCAATCACCAAGCTCCACTGCAAATATAATGTAGCAAGAAAATATCTTGCTTCATTAAGGAATTAAACATATGTAAAAACTAATAACATGTACTCTCTAAGATCCAGCACAAGGCACCTGAGGGAGTAGACCCCTCAGAGGAAAGGCAAGGCATCCATTAATAAATACCCAGCTCATGCCAAGGGGGAAGTCTGAACGCTGCACAGTGGCTTCATGAGCATTTTAATGCTCATACAACAGGCATAGCTCAGCTGGGGAAGGGGAAGCACACAGCATGGAGGGCACTGGGAAACGTTCATCCCATGGCCATCCCTTCCCGGAGTGTGCTAGGCTTCATCCTAGTCTCCTTCACAGGCCATTGCCATCTGACTGTCACCAGATTCTCAGAATGAGCATGTAGTTGGTGTGGCAGAGGGGGTCCCCTTTGCTCCTCCTGCTTTAGGAAGTCATTGTTCTCTCGAAGAACAGACTCCTCTTGGATAAAGAGATAGAGGTGCACATTCCAGATCCAAAATGGACTTGCTCTGTGACTCTGGACAGGTAAATCAACATGGTGAGTTTTCACTTCTCTGAGTCTTTAAAAATGATTATAAAAAACTTTTATGGTCAGTCAGTCAGTGAGATCCTGTCTCAAAACAACACTGTTACCACACGAAGGCATCACCCTTAGTTACTTTGCTTAAAATTAAGTTAGGAGCCAGCAAGCCCTTCACATTTTGAATTGGTTGGAATCAGTATAAGAGCCCTTCCTTT